AATGAATGCCAAGGTGTTCTCTCTTTCAGTCTCTCATTCCCTGCTTCAGTCTGCCCCCTTCTTAGGACTGCCTGGACCGTTTATTCCTGGGTAAGCAGAGTGCTGGTGGATGTCGTGCTTCTCAGGGGATTGTCCCCACTCTCAGTTTCCAGTGCTAGAGAAGTGGTAGAAATCAGTGTTCCCTTGCATGAGGACAGTGGGAAAGCGAGAGCTTCCATGAGGACTAAATCGGGAAGAGCTAGTCTTTATGGCATCCTCTTCCTCTCCCCCAGTTGGTTTGGGGTATCTACTTTTAAGTATGGGGACTGTTCTGGGGGCGTCCAGGGGAGGTTCAGATGGGAAGTGCATGGATTGGGTCATCCTTCCTGCCCCGTATCTTCAGGCCTCTGTTCGCGTTTTCCATAGTTCCTCTGTCGGTCCTCTCTTTCTTCCTTCTCCCTCTTCCCTCCCTTCTCTCTCTTTTTCCTACATTTTTATTTATATAAAACACACATGACATAAAATTTACCATCTTAACCATTTTTAAGCGTGCTGTTCAGTGGCGCCAAGGGCATTTGCTTTGCTGGGCCCCCTGATCTCCAGAACTTGTTTCATCTTACAAATCTGCAACTCTGCACCTATTAAAGAACCTGTCCTTCTTCCCCCTTGGGCCAGCCCCGGCAGCCACCTTTGTACTTGGTGAATCCGACTTCTCAGCGTGTGTCCTCTGTTCTGCCTTCTTTCAGGTAGCCCCCCCCCCCGCCCCCTGCCCCCCACTCCTCCCACCCCATCCTGGTTCTAGCCTCCTGTCCTTTAGGTGTAGCAGTTTATGTTTGGCAGCTGTGTTGTTAGGAAAAAGGACTTTTCTCAGTTTGCTTCTCATTAGGCCCACAGACAGTCCAGGCTGGCAGATAGAGGTGGGGTCTTCCAGAACTGCCAGGGGGCTGCGTTCACAGTGATTAAAGCCCACGCGTGTAGGACAGACACCTGACAGATCACGCAGCCCTGCAGCCCGTGGCCTCACAGTGTCCCCTTGGGAGCTCCTTGTGCAGCTGAGAGTGCGAGGCCTGGGGATGACTGTTCAGGACGGTATCGCTCCTCTCTTGGGATTTGCTGGCCCGGCCCTAGTCTCCGTGATCAGCTGGACCAGTGTTCTCAAATGCCAGTTCACAGACCGGCTTTCTGGCAGGCAAGGCCCTCCTAACCTGTTGGTCTGCTTCCTTCCTCGTCCCTGGGTTGGTTTGGCGTGTGCCGTTGAAGGGATTCTGCGAGCACATTATTGAAATGAGACATTTGTGGGGCCGCCTTCCATTGTTTCTGCTAATGGGAGCCCATGAGTCTTTCACGAATGGTTCCTCCGATTGCTTTCTCTAGCCTGGGACTTTGCCTTGGAGAGATTGCTCACAAAATGCCGTCCTCAGCCTTCTTCCATGGGGAGGCGTGCCTGAGAGCTTGGGGCTGGAAGAGAAAAGCAGAAAGATGAGAAATGAAATTGGGGCATTGACAGTTGTCTCTGCGGTCCCTTGGCCAGCTCCAGGAGCCCTGGTCTGGTCATGGGCTGGTCAGTGACCAGTCACCTGTTGCCCTGAGACCCTTTACCTCTCAGGACTTCTGCTCCTCTGTAGAAGGGGAAGGTGATTCTGCCCTGCCCACCCCACAGAAGGAGAGGGGCTTGTGGAGAAGTGTGGCTCATTGTGCTCAGTAAATGACGATTTTTTTATCTCAGTGTTAGGCAATGTGAGGACTTTGCAAGGTGACTGAGACGCACCCAGAGGGGACCTCAGTGGCTATTTCACATGGCAGTGACCGTTCACAAGTGTCACCTGCTCGCACACCACGGGGTGCGAGGAGCTCCCCATCCTCTCAGTGTGCGCTAACCTCCCCTCCTCTTGGCTTGCCACTGGAAAGGGCGGTATAGACCCTCCCCAAACACTTTGACCACTAGTTTCTTCCCTAGAAGATGTGTTAATATACATTTTAAAAGTGATTTTGTGTGTGTGCGTGTGTCCTTTCTTTTTTTTCCATACCAGGGATTGAACCCAGAGTCACCCAGCCACTTAGCCACATCCCCAGCCCCCTTTTTAATATTTCATTCTGAGACTAACTGGGTCTTGCTGAGTTGTCGAGGGCCTTGCAGCGGTACCAAGGCTGGCCTTGAACTTGTAATTCTCCTGCCTCAGCCTCCCCAGTGTGTGGAATTACTGGTGTGCACCTCTGTGCCCAATCATGTATTTTTAATGAACTCTGAGCTCAGAAGGTAATACGCCAAGAAAGAGAAGGAAAAAATATATATCTATCTTAAGTTTGCTGCTGTGCCTGCCTGCCGCTGGGCAACCAGAGCCATCAGCCTTTCCAGGGGCATTTCTTGTCTCTTTAAATGGAATCAGAGGAGGTTGGAGGTAGATGAGTATGATAGTAAGTTCCTAGAGATCATCAAATAGGATTTTTAATTTTTTCTTCCCAATGTCTTTTGTAACATAGAGCACAGTTCTCAATAGGGACTTCATAAATCCTCAAATCTTCTAACAGTTAGAAGATATCATTTTGAGGGACCATACAAAAGAAGAATACGGAATATGAAGAGCTCAAAAGCTTTGCAGTCAGTCCGGCAGGAACTGGCTAACCCTGGGCTGGAAGGAGGCCCCTCAGGAATTCACCGTTTACCAGGGGGCTTGGGCCAGAGACTCCACATCTTTCCACTCCTGGAGTACAAATTAGAGGGACAACAGAGCAGAATGGCTATAGAATTGTGATCAGTGACTTAAGTATGTTAAAAGGGCGTTGTAGAAAATCTGTAGGTAGATTTCTATCACACAGAGTATTTTCCTTATCTAAACCACTGGATTTGTCCAACCTCAGTTCCCCACATTTGCTCCATCCCTGGTGTCTGCTCAGGTTTTCAGCCAAATCAAGGTCAGGATAAAGAGGAGATTTGGATGGCGGTAAGCTGGATATCCAGGCTCCTACAGTAATACTCAATTATTGAATTCTCTAGAAGCACCAACTCTTCTATAATGAAGTCCTCAGTTTTTAAATATCTTTATAAATCAGGCAGTTCAGTATTGGCCACAGCCAGCTTGCTGTTTTCTGCTTTGTTGTAAAAATAAGATGGTAAAGCCCTGGGAGCTTGCTAGGGTTGTTAAAAGATCATCTTAAGCATTTTGACGCACGTTATTCTTCATGTGACTTTGAGCCTTAAAGGCTCCCAAATGGAATAAGACAGGAATGAGACAGAAGAGAATTTAGCTTGCTGCCATCATTCTGAACCGTTGGAACCCCCAACCAGGGCTGCAGGTTTCCTGTGACATTCCTGGTCACTTGGAGGCTACACCTGCCAGGCTGAGAATTGGGTGTGTAGGAAAAACCTTGGCTAAGACGCATTGTTCTCATTTACTTTGAGTACAGTAGAAATAAAGGAAAATAAAACAAAAAGGTTCATTAGCATTAAGGTTCACAGTCCAGGTACTCTGAAAAGATTGCAGGTTCAATGCTAGACCACTGCAATCAAGCAAATGTGGCACTGAAGTAAGTCCCATGAATTTTTTGATTTCCTGGTGCGTATAAAAGTTATATTTACACCATGCTGCAGTATATTAAGTGTGCAATAGCCTTATATCTAAGAAAACAATGTATAAAGTTTATTTTAAAAAATATCTTATCGCTAAGAAATGCAAATGATCATCTGAGCTGTTGGAAAAATGGTGCTGATACACTGGCTTGACCCAGGTTTGCTAGAAATCTTTAATTATAAAACAACAACAACAACAACAAAAAACACAAATCCCTGCAATATCTTTAAAGCACAATAAACAAGATATTCCTGTTTGTGCTTTCTAGCACATTTACCACAGTCTTGATGTTTAATAATATTTTTAGTCTGTAACTTCCTACTTTACTGCAATTATCTATTGTGTTCCTATACAACAAGACTCTCTGTATCTCATGTAATGAAATTCTGATAGGCAGAATATCATTGCATTTCTCTTCCTTGTTAAGGGCACGGCCATCCTGTATATCCAGAGACCCCAGTTGACTAGCGAAGCATTCATTGTATAGCCCTTCAGACTTGTGTGTGTGTGTGTGTGTGTGTGTGTGTGTGTGTGTGTGTCTGCATGTCCGCCAGACTTACAAATGTATTCCTCAGGCCAGTTTTTTAGTTTTTTTAAACGCTGAATGTGATTGATAATACATTAACCAATATCATTTGCCATGTACTATTTCAGTGAAAGTAATTTATATTGCCTCTCAGATGCAGTAACATTTTGAACTAAGTGCTTTCTAACATTAATCTAAACCAGTCCTTTTTAGAATAACCTACTTTCCACTCTAAGGATATTTTGCTAAGACTGGCTTGGTTGTAAAGTTTTCCACTGGATGCTCTAAAACAGTGAAAATGTTCGTCTATAAATGCAGTAAGTGTCTTTGTGAAATATTGATCTTTCTTATTTTCTTGTCTCTCCGGTGACCAGACTGTGGGTGGTAACATGTCTGCAAAGTGTTTTATAGGGGATGGAGTGCAACCTTTTAAGCCAAGAAATGGAAAACAGGAGGCAAACAAGAGTCTTAGAGGAAGGAGGGCGTTGATCAAGGTTGGATCTGCACAGAGAGGATTTGGTGGTAGAAATGCCAAGAAGGGCAACTTTGCATTTACTATAGGCAGGTGGTACCAGGAAGTGCCAGAAGAAAACCCACTTGGTTTCAGAAGACATGGGCAGGTGTTCTTTGCCACATAAATTCATGACATTAGGAACAAGTTAGCAAACATTTTGAAGTTCAGAGCTGGGCTGCCTAGCGCTGTGTGTGTGCTGTTTGTTCACCTGCAGGCGATTTCAGTGCCCAGGTGTGATGGGGCCAAGATGGAAAGCAGAATACTCACTTGTCAATTAAACAAACCTAATGATTTTTAAAGGTACGTTTTCAGAGGATGTCAATACGGCATCCCTGAGGCCATGGTCCGAGGCCACGTGAGGGTGCCTAGGTGGGCGTGCAGGGGTCTTACCTGTGTTTGTCTTCTCTTTCAGCCCATCAGGTCCACCCATCTGGCCAGGCAGTACCTTCTTCAAGAGAAACGGAGCCCTTCTGCAAGGTAAGTGTCTAGGAAACCTCGCTGCCCCTGCAATCCCCTCAGTGCCAACCAGAGAGGGGCTGCCCTCTGGAGAAGCGTGACTGAGTGGTTGGGTCTGTGTGCCCACTTCTCTTTATTTCTTCCTACTCAAGTAGGAGTCATGAGTCAAAACCAGGCTTTCCGGGACTGCTGCTCTGGCCCGTTGTCATTGCTCATGTTCCAGAGCGTCTGGGTTGCTTTGGTGGAATGGGGATGGCATGACAATTGGGATATGAAAATGGTATGCACACGGGGCTGAGGAGAGCGAGCCCTTTTGTATGTTTCCAGCCCCTGGGCTGACAAGGAGTGGTTCCGGTGTTCTGACCCTTGGCCTTGTGGAGGTGCACTCATTCCTTGCTGTCCTCTGATGTCCATGTGGGCCTGGAAGGCTGTTGTTTGTGCTGAGGCTCAGAGTAGAGCCCCGCCCCAACCTGTCCCCACAGCGTCATTTGCTAGGGACACACTTTCCGATATTTGCCCATTCTCTGCTGCCCTGTACTAGCTCTTGCCCAGTGTTCTTAAGGAGTTCAAAGTGCCTTTCATCTCTGTGCTGCCTAGGCTGGCCTCCAATTCCTGACCTTAAGTGATCTTCCTGCCTCAGCCTCCTAAGTAGTCGGTAGTACATACATGTGCCATGGTGTCTGACTACACTTACTTTTTTTAAAAAAAAAATTTGTTTTAGTTGTAGATGAACAATACCTTTATTTTAATGATGTATTTATATATGGTGCTGAGGATTAAATCCAGTGCCTCACACGTGCCAGGCGAGCTCTCTACCACTGAGCCACAACCCCAGCCCTACATTTACTTTTGAAATGGGTAAGATTAAAGATGAACAAATGGTTAAAAATAGCAAAAAAAAGTGGATTACAAATACTTTGAGATATTACTTTGTTTTGGATATCTGCTCTGCAGAAGAACCAGCCTCCAAGCATCTTCTAGTTTTCTGTCTCCCTTAGCCTCTGTTGACTGGCAGAAGTCATGGGGGCACAGCTGCCAAAGGCAGATGCACTGGATTGTACCAAGCACTTCAGAACCATGCTGGCTCCCGGTGAGGGTGTTACTGCCTTTTGATTGGTCTAGAGCTGGTTAGTCTCCGTCCTTTAGAAGTACAGGCCGAGGCCAACCATGTGTGTGAAGGGGTAGGATATCAATGTGGTTAAGAGAAGAGGCATTTATCTTCAGGTTTCTGGAGTAGCTCAAACAGTTGTGAGAGATAGCATCACATTTGGTCATTCATGGGCTGTGCCATCGCATTCTGTCTTTCTCAAGGTCTGTAAAATCAAGAACTTGAGGATTTCTTTGCACTTGGCTTGGTACAGGTGCAATTTAGGCAGGTAAGTTTGGTTAACCCTAATTTTAGTAGTTGTCATAGATATCCTAAATATCTAAGAAAATAAAAGGAATTGCCTCCACTCTCAAAAATTAGTACTTAGTTTTTTAAAAAACTATTCTGTTCTTTCTTCAGATTGTATAATTAGAAGCTGATTTTTTTTTTTTTTTTTAAATGCTGGGGATTGAACCCAGGGACTTGTGCATGCTAGGCAAGCACTCTACCAACTGAGCCATATCCCCAGCCCCTGATGATAGCCATTCTTTGGGTTTTTCTCAAGTGGATTTAAAAGTTATACATCTTCCTTTTTTCTCTAGAACCATAGGCAATATATTAATATCATTAATGGTTGGATTTTTTCAGAAAAAATGCTTTTATTTTCTTATGGGATTTCAGATCCACATAGGTAAGTTTTGCTGTGTGCATGTCAGTTGTTCTTTGTTTCTGTGGGGCAAAAACACTAGAGAAGTACCAATAAAGTCTCTGATGCTGAGTGATTGCTGTGGGAGTTTCTGTCTTGTGGATGTAGATGTCACAATTTCAAAAATTCCTTGATTGCTCTATATGCTGGGAATTAAGCTAGTATACACGGCAAATGCTTCTTGGATCTACATCCAATCAGATACAACCTTTATATGGCTTTTTGTACATTGGAAAACCAAGAGAATCTTGGTGAGAGTTTGGTCATGTAGGTGGAGACGTGTTAACATGAGTTTTTTCTGTTTGTGTCATTCTGTTTAAAGTGTTTTTTTAGAGCCGGGCCGGTGGGGGTGGGGGGGGGGCGATGCTACTGGGGCTGGACCCTGGAGCTCCACCACTGAGCTGTACCTCTGATCCTTTTAAAATTTTATTTTCAGGTATTTTCAGAGTTGCCCAGGCTGGCCTCAAATTTGCAATCCTCCTACCCCAGCCTCCTGAGTAGCTGGGATTACAGATGTGGGCCTCTGTTCCTGGCTCTGTCTCACATTCTTGAGATACTTTTATTGTATTATTTTGAATGTTTCTCATCCTAATTAATATTTCCATGTGCCTTTCGTGAGTGGTACAGAGCAGCCAGAAGTAATGGCCAGCAGCAGAATTTTTACAAATAAACGTGTATAAAGAAGAGGCCAGGACACAACAATGGAAGGTTTAGGTTACAATCATGCAGAAGAAAGGATATCTGATTTATGCCCACTTTAATTTTTCTTATTTATGTTTATTTATTTATTGGTCCTAGGGCTTGAGCTCAGGAGCACTTAACCACTGAGCCACATCTCTAGTCCTTTTTAAACAATTTTTTATTTTGAAACAGAGTCTCACTAAGTTGCTGTGACTGGTCTCAAATTTGCAATCCTTCTGTCTATAAGCCTCCTGAGCCTCAGGGATTATAGATCTGTGCCCCCCTACCCAGCTGTCTATGCCCACTTTCTTATTGTTATGCTCACAAATCTCCCTTTACCCACACAGAAGTAGTGGGATGGGTTTTTTATTTGTTTGTTTTTGTTGTTGTTGTTGCTGTTGGTTTGTTTGTTTTGTTAAGATATTAGACTAGTGGGGTCCAGGCACAGAGATTAGCGTTGAGGCCCAACAGGACCAGAACATCCATCCCCAAAAGAACGGTGGGAATGAATCTCCTCTGTGCAGTCGTCCCAGGGGTTGAGAGGGTACAGATGCAGGCTATGAACACAAGCAGATGTGCCACGTCGTGTAGGAGAGGGAGCCTGGTTTTTGCCAGGAGGATGGGATCAGAGGGACTGTCACTCCTTGGGGAGAATTGACACTTGAGCAAGACCTTGAAAATCAGAGATGTGCTTTTGTAGAAGTAGCAGAAATGGCATTGCCAGAGAGGGAAAATCATAGGGCAAGTGGCATCACTATGGTGGGGACTTGGAGGAGGTGCAGAACTTGAGTGCTCCATAGACACCTCGGCTGATATTGTCACGGGCTCCTTGACTTATGATGGGGCCCAGCCAGATGAGTTCTTGGTGAGCCGAAGATGTCATAGGTCGAGAATGGATCTAACACGCATACTGTAGAGAGTTGGTGGTGCCCCTCATGATCCTGGGGATGACTGGGAACTTCAGTTCATTGTCACCATCCAGCATCAGAGGAGAGAACTGGACCTGGTATTGCTAGTTCAGGACAAGATCAAAATTCAAAGGACGGTTCTACTGAATGCATCTGGCTTTTGCACACCGTATGGTTGAAAGACCATCTGTGATGTGGTGCCCCAAGGGGAAGAAATGGAAGTGAAAACCTAAAATGATGTTGAAACCAGAATGACATCATAGTTGCAATGGGGAACCAGCTCGTGTGGTCTAGTGGTTGTTTGGTTTATGAGCTGTCGAGTGGAAACCTAGTACATTTATTTTTTCCAGCACAAAACCAATTGCAAGAATTAACTGGAAGTACTCCAGGTCCTCCTTGGGTGCCGGGTCTTGTGTTTTGGTTCAGAATCCCTGGCAAAAGGGGCTGCTGAATCACTTCTCAGGGTTGAGGATAACGGGGTAAGGTGTGGTTTGGATTACACCAGGCAGGGGTACTTAACATAATTGGTCATTCCAACAATTCACAGTATTTATTTTAAATGCCATTTAGCTTGTGAAAGACAATTTTAGTATTCTAGCAATTTCGGCAGGCTAGAGAGCACTTCAGTTGTTATAGAGCAGAAACCAAGCAGAGCCTCAGAAGGGGACAAACCCATTGTCTAAATGGGACCCTGGGCAGGTCCAGACAGAAGTGTGGCTTAATCAGAACTTTGCAGAAGTGGCCAGCTGATAGGTGCCTCTCACCCTCCCATCTACACATATCTGTGTCTCTGTGTTATGATCTCTGTGTTCGAAATATTATTCTTAAAAAAAAATTAATTAGTTTAACAATTTTCATTTTCTTAATGAAAAGAGTAGATATATATATATATATAATTTTTTTTTTTTTTTTTTGCTTTTCCAAACTCCCTGTCTCCCTCTCTACATTCCATTCACCTATCAAACTTAAAATTAGGTTGCTGTATTTAAACAACCCCCTTGTATGAACTGTTTTAATGAGTGCATGAATCATAATTGAAAACATTCCTCGTCCCTGGTCTGACCCTTCATGTTGTCCCCGATGGTTTCATCCCAGAATGACCTGTGGAGTTTCTGCCCTTGGTAGCTCCAAGCCTTCTATGGAAAGTGGATACAAACAGCTGCTGATCTTATCTGCCACTTCTCTCTGGGGCCCTGTGGGCTTCAGAGCTCCCCAGAGCTGTGGTTACTGAGAGGTTTCTGCCTTTCTAATTCTACCCTAGCTGACCATTTGGGCTCACTAATCCTCTCTTCCTTGGAGCACAGGCATGAGCCCACCCACACGTTCCCTCTGCAAGTTTGTCTTTATTCTGCATTTCTGAGTGCAGGCACTGTGGTAGGCTGGAGGTTCCCAAGGAGCCCAGGGCCCACTCTGTGGTCAGACCATGCATCCCAGCCTTTCTTGTACAAGGCAGTTGGACTCCCTTTCTAGAAGCCCAGGTGACATCACAGTGACAGTACCCTGGGCTTGTTTGTTCATTTGGTGCTAGAGATGGAACCCATGGGTTCTACCATTCCAAGTCCTTTTTATTTTTATTTTTGAGGCAGGATCTTGCTAAAAGGCTGAGGTTGGCCTTGAACTTGTATCCTCCTGCCTCAAC